TGAACTTTCTGGTTTACCAAAGTGAACTGTGCGGTTTCACCCAGCCTGAGCTGAGCTGACTTTGATGAAGAGCAAGAAGGAAATTTCGATTGCGAAGTGCAATCGGTTATTTAAAGTTCTCAAAATCATTAACTGTCTTCTTGATGTTTGGAAATGTGGTCAAACACGATCTTTTGTGTTTGATATATTGCGTCATTGTTAATATACCAACGGTATAGATACTAAGAGAAGGTAACAGCATTACTGCTGTTTTCACAATGGTGTAAAGTTCACGAGTGACTCGACGGAAAACCCGCTGTACGATACGTGAGTATATTTGTTGATTTCTTTTTTGGTAGAATGATGAAATCTGACAAACGTTTCTTTCTGTCTCTTATTAAGGGAAAGTGAGTGCGCTGTGAATCCACTGTATTATGCAAAGCGTCAGGTCACTGATTTTTACGCGCAACCGAGCACCCCATCTGAACCGGTGATGACTTTGCAGTTCCAAGATCTGACCGAATATGGGGAAAACCCTCTGTATGCTTTTGTTGCAGCTTCTTCTAACGAAAGGTATGTTGACAATAACACAGAAGTTGACATTTGTTGTATGAAATTCACCTTAATTTGCATCATAGTTTGCATTGAAAAATATGAGAAAATGCTGCCTCGTATTCTAAGAAGCTACTAACAAGACCTAGGAAAAGTCTATAAAGATTGCTCTGATGTAAGGAAGCTAAAAAATCTTACAGATAGTAGCGAAGGAGAAGGAAAATATTTACCTATGTTTTGAAAGCAATATTTCTGTCCCAAAAGAGCTTAATTTAACACCATATTGCTGTCATTATCAGTAGTTTCCCGACGCTAACAAATCGTTCTTTCATCAAATCTGACAATTCTCAACAAGTACGCATGCTAAAATGTTACTCACATTTTATCGGCGCGTCATTACATTATTAGCTCAGCTAGAGGACTAGCTTTAAAAGGATATTTATCCTAAACAAAGCATTTTCTCGAAATGAAAATTCCAGACAGTTTAGTGTTTCTTAAGTATGCAATTTGTAAACAAAAAGCAGCTTTGGACGACTAGTAAACAGTTAAACTTTTGATTCTTTTTTTATTTGGCGAACGCAAAGAACGAATGAAAAACTTCTGAAATTAAAATGGATTCCGTGCCAATGACTTTAATTGGGTTCTCAGTGTACACGACACGTTTCTTCACACTTTTTGTTAGAAAACAACGACGATTTTAATTTGACTTAAACGTTTTCTTTTTCAGAAATTCAATTTTTGTTTTCAAAGCGAAGAATTAAGTCTGGTCTTCTTTCAATCGATCGTTCGAGGTCAAGAGTAATTGTAGAATAATTCGGCGCATGCCTTCGTTGCTTTTGATGTTCATGAGAAGTCACCGTCGCGCAAGATATGGTCCAAAAATTACAGAATCCATCCACGTGAGCTATTGCCCGCGAGAACATGAAGATTAGAGAGTGTGTGTTTAGTTTTTACCTGTTATATGCTTTTATATTACTGTTATATGCTGTTATATTGCAGACCGTTTGCTATCAGTTTTGCTATTGTACTTTATAGTTTAATTACACCACTTTCTATTCACAACCTCGTGTAGTTTTCACAACCACAAGTGAATTGCATAATTCCATAAAATAATATGGAAAATAATTCATATTGCTTTTAAGTCATATTTTTGTCGTGACAAAGTATGTGCATTGAATTTTTGAATTTTTCCAAACGTCTTAGCAATTGTGCCGGCATGGCTCGCATAATTTTCGACAGAATTGGTCAATTGGGATGCTTGCAAGCAGTTAACCATTCAGATATTCCAGGGGACTTTTTTAAAATAATCTGAAGTATAAATAAAATAGGTAAGCAATTGAACCATAAAAAAGAACTTAAGATTCTCATAAACTGGCTGTTTTTTTATATTGTAGAAGCCACTGATTTTGAATTTGAAATTCAATGTTATGAAAAATTTAATTCACATGGTTGCTTTTCTCTGTTACTCAGTTTCCGTAAGCCAAAGAAAATAAAAGTATCGGAATCACTGAAAATTTGGCCTTATCACGACAAATTAATTACGTACGTATTTACAAAGCCACATTATAACAGAGATGTGTAATTTTTACAAGCATAACCGGCCGCCAGGTTACGACTAGAATTATTTAAACACGGGCAGCGAGCACACGCGCTGGCAACAACATTGCAGCAATCCTGCAGCAAAACGAAACATTGCGACGGTTTATCAATCGAAATCAAATGATCTAAACAACGTTTTATTTACGACTGAAAATTCAACAAACCTGATATTTAATTTAAAACCTCGAGAAAAGCAGAAGCCGGAATCAAAGTTAGAATTAAAAGTTTTCAAAACTATTTACGCCGATCCAGCCAAATGGCATTGTGGTTGTTCATTTGCAACGTGAATAAAAACATGAATATCTTAATTTATATAATTAAGCATTACGGAAAGCAAATATTGCGTCGAAATAGCACAATTTTCCGGATTTTTTTTAAGTAGTGCAATGCAATTGTTGGTAAAAATACAATTTTTAAACTTCAAGTTAACTCTCCTACCTCACGGGATTCGCTTCCAAACGCTGTTGACCACAAACAGCAGCTTATTACACCGATGTTTCAAGATTTTTTCCCCTCCTCCGCTGGTATCTTTCTTGTTTTATCCTTGTTATTCTGTTCCCAGCCCAAAATCGAGGAAATAATACCAGTTTATGGCGTCTGTTGCCGTTTAAAATCTCGTATTTCAATATTAAAAGCCTAAAACTTTTTCGGTCGTGTCTGTATGCAAATGATTGACGGAGACCCTAATATGGAAGTGGCAAACCGCGTTCAACAGCTGGCTTTTGGCGGGAAAAATAATCAGGCTGTCAAACAAAGATCTGTTTACAAGTTATTAATATCAATTACAAAGAAAACAATTTTAAAACATATTGTTAAATCCCTCACACAAGATATCCCGATTGAAGTCCAAATAACGGAAGAGAACTAAGACCTGCTGAGAATGCGAGATTTCAAACAAAAATTGCGAGAGTTGATGCGAAAAGTTTAATTATTTGAAAGGAAGTGGTCAGTTATTTTATTTTTTATGCCTTCGTAGATGTGCTAGCAAAAATATCGCGCGCAAATTTCTTAAGTTGTGGCTAAGTCACTGAACTGTTTCCGCTCTCTTAAATTGACGGCTGCATCAAATTGTGTAAATCTAATAAAATCGTTTTTGTTAGACGGGGTGGGGGTTATAAGTCGTCGCAGGTGGCATGAATAAAGAGACAGTATTGAGGCTTTGCATGGCCAGTGGTCAGTTATTTTTATGCCTTCGTAGACGTGCTAGCAAAAATATCGTGCGCAAATTTCTTAAGTTGTGGCTAAGTTAATGAACTGCTTCCGCTCTCTTAAATTGACGGCTGTATCAAATTGTGTGAATCTAATAAAATCGTTTTTGTTAGAGGAGATTGTGGGTGCGAGGGGGGTGGGGGTTACATGTCGTCGCAGGTGGCATGAATAAAGAGACAGTATTGAGGCTTTTTAAGTGTCTTTATTATTGTCCATGTTTTTATAAAACGTCTCTGACAATTCAAATTACTGGGCGTAAAAAAAGCAGGTTTTTGTATTATTTTCTTTACCTATGACACAAGTGACAATCTATTACAAGCACGTTAATTAAAACTGATCATGAATGATTTTGTTAAAATGATTCGCCCATTTCGTGCCGCCAATACAAACTCGTGAAATTTGGCTTTCTATTTCTATTAAAAAAAAAGTAAACATTTTTTTAAAAACACTTCTGGATAACGATAAAAGTGCTCCTCNACTCCTAAGATGCAGGACAAACTATAAAACATGTGCGATTGAAAACCAATGCTGACTTCTCATAAGCAACACAGGCTGGAAAAAAGTCATTCCATTTTGACCTAGCTTGGTTTCTTCTTAAGTTGCCATGGTGATGAGCAGAAGCAGAGCCAAACAGGCAGAGGTAACCAGGACAGCGATGAATCCAAACGTCATGTAAAAAACACCTGCAAACAAAAGAAATTTATACAAGAAAAAAAATGAGCAAAAAGGTGAGGTGATTGGTAAACACATGCTTGTTCCTGCTCTTCCATTGACTACGTATGCGCTGATTTTTGGCGCGCCTCTCGCAACTGAGTTCTGGGTTCTAATCTCTTTAATTATACGCCTGGATATTTGTTTATCTTACTATACTGAATTTATTTCCCTGTTACATCTTACCTTGCTGTTTTTTGCCGCGCATTAAATAGATCTCGAGAACAACAACTGGCAGCAGCCCAACACAAAACGCAACCATGAAATAGACTCCAAATTCTGTGTCCAAATGTGGCAGGCGAAGACCGAGAAAGATGTTGGCAACTAAAGAGCGATTCCCAAAAAAATAATATTAGTATTTGACTCCAAAGAGAGACCAACATCTCATGTCTCCTGACTGCAAATATTGCAAAGTGAACATCGACATAAAAGCATAAGGAAAAGATCAGGATTTTTCTCCTTATGCGTTATATATGATGATGCTGTTATTTTGCTATTATGTCGTTATGTCAGCATGTTAACGCTGCAAACATAACGAAATAACGTCCTTTTTATGTCATTACGGTTATGTCGTAATGCCGCTATGTCGTTAGAGTGAACAAGGCCTGACGCTGGCTTATGCCCAGAAGTAGTTCGGTACTGAGAAACGATCAAGAGCTCGCTGATGTATTATCAACGACAACAACTTTAGGAAACTTACTGCCGAGAATGAATGCAGTGACGCCAACTGAACGATGAGCCCAGTTGAAAATGCAGCGGCTGTTGACAAATAAGAAAAAAAAGTCAAGCTACCAGAATACTATAAGAAGACAGGAACTTCCTAATAGCTATCTATCGTTACTGTGATACTCCGCTCGGTGATATTACTTATGACAGTTTATAATTACACCTTTACTTAATTATGTCAGTTCTATTTTATCAGTTTTAAACAAAAGACAAAAACGTTGAAATTAATATATATTGAACTTGAGAAATTACAACGCATCAAATCGTGTCCTTACTTCTCAGCAGTTGGCCCGGGCCTCATGAGAGCCATGATGGGCTGTACACAGACAAGGAACGTAATAATGATCCCCAATACTGAGTGCGCCACGTCCGCCTGTGAATTGATGAAAATGAAATCAGTGTTCGTTACAAGATGAAAGCTGGCAGCTTAGGGCTTGTAGCCTTAATTCAACCCGTTTTAACCAGGGAACGCTTTAAATCTTTTGCAGATATATAAAAGTTGAAGGGAAGGATGTCTATACTTTATGGCAAGACAAAACATCTGACCTATCTGTATGAGAACCAGACTGTTTCTTAGCGAAGAAAGTAAAGACTAGCTGAACGATGGCGAACTCATACCACGTGCTATCAGTGAAGAGACCTTTACGTAAGAGAGGCGCGCGATGTTCCATATGCCCGGAACCGTTTTCACTTAGAGGATCCGCCCAACCTGTTTTAATTCATTATGGTTTGTCATAACTATTTGACGAGAGTGTTGCGACTGGCTACAGTATCGGTTCTCTTATGTTACTAGGTCTCTAATTCCAGGACGAGTTTGATTCAGGCGTCAGTTGCAATACAACGATACAGTGGCACTATTAATATAAATCGTTCTTACTTCAGACCAGCCTTCAACGTGAACAAAGACCAGCACAAAACCGACCAACGTGCAAATTAAACAACAGACAGTCATGGCTCTGTGAATCTAAAAATAACAATAAAATAAAGCGAAATGAGATCACGTAAGCGTGAAAATAGATGCACACTCTATAATGTTGGAGTTACGCCTTGACCAAACGGACTTTCAAGTAGACGCAAGTTCAATACTTGAGTCTCCTTGCGATTCCGTTTGGCAAGGTCTTGCGCTCAATTGCGTTGACTTGCGATGACTTGTACTCACTTTGGTCGAGATCAAATTGGAACGCAAGCCGACGCAAGTTTTTCACCGTTTGGCCAGGCAACCCAAGTCAACACAAGTTGAGTGACGTCCATTCGTTGTTAAAACAATCTATTCTAATACAGGATACATAGCCTTGAAATGTTTTTTTTGTTTGTTTTGTTTTGTTTTGTTTTTTTTCAGTGGTTTTTGGCGACTTGCGTGTACTTGCGAGGAAACTTGCGAGTCCGTGTGGCCACCCAACGCAAGTCTCTACGCAAGTTCAACTTGCGGCCACTTTCGAGTCCATTTGGCCAGGACTTTACATAAGAACTCGGAAGTAACAAGAAAGGTTCTGAAGACGGAGCCTTAAATGAAAATTGGGGAGTACTACCTTTTGCGAAAAATCGAGATTGCATACTATGCGAAGAAAGCTGTGAAACTTCGTGCTGTCTTCTGCGTAGTAAAATGTTTTCTTAAATTAGTCTTTGATTAACGTCTGAACGAAAACTGCACATTACAGTGGACGCAAAGCAATCTTCTTGAAAGGGGACGTCAAACCATAACTTTCGAACAACACTTTTTGTTGGAACAATACAAGAGCTAATCCCAACCTTAATTAGACTGTGTCACCATGGACGTTTCAGTGAGCATAAGCATGACGTAACAGATGCAAACGCTAGTTTACCTGGAACCACTTCTTCTTTCCAAACAGTTTGCCCCACGCGTCTTTCATGTAACGGGCCGCAAATATAGCCAAGGTAGCAAACCCGACCCAGGCTAACACCATAAGAGAGCCTGGAATTAAATTAAATTGCTGATGTAAACATAGGTGTAGACAGAAGTTTATAAACTTCTGATGTTGATTTCCTTTTAAATTGTAAAACAAGTTCAACTGTACTTCAAGTAAAATGATACACTCGCACACTTCTTACCATGCGCCTTCAGTAGCTTGGTGTCTGGGGTCTCGCTCTTTAGTGGTGCATTCAGTTTACAGACGTCGACTTTATCGGCGCTCCATGACCTGTGAGTGTGTTTATTAAGTATGCCACCTACAAAACAAACAAAGAAACAAACAGAGTTTTGAGTAATGACACTTGAGGTAATCGAGCAGGATTGTTTAGACAAATATTACTTTCTTACTGACTAAACAAATCTTCAATTAACTTACCACTCACGCTGCCACGAGCGTAAATCAAGAATACCTCCTTGTCTAAACGAAACATGGAACTTGCTGTTTTATTCCGCGAGAATCTGAAATATAAAGAAGGAAATCACTTACAATGGTAAAAAAAAAATTAACAAAAGTTAGGGAAAAAAGTATAATCCTAGTTGATAAAAGAAGCTCGAACAATTTTTCAAAGTAAGTCATTTTTAGCGTCTATTTTGCCTAAGCAAATAGTTTAGCATTTTCCATTGAGGCTGCGACACTTACCTACACTTAATAACTCCATCCTCAAAAGCGCCAGAGATAACCGTGAGACCAGCGGGAGTCTAGGTACGAGTTCAAAAAATCTATTACACTACTGACTGACAAAATGCTTCACGACACTCAAGTTAAATTTCCGTTTAAACATTAGTCAGTCAATTGCTTTAAAGCTAATTAACTTACTAGCCAATTCCTTTCATTTTTTTTTTTGTTTTAGGTTTCTTACTGTTTTGATTAATTTAGTCTTTATTCATTTTTTAGGTGACTTTTTATGTTTTTTGGTACGCAGCAACAACTGTTAGTCAGTTTAGTTTGCTCGTTGTTACGATGTTTTCACGTCACTTGATGTTGTTGTTAAATTTGATAAGTAAATTGTTTGAGGAAGGTTCGACTCAACAAAACCCACACATAATTAGTGAACCTTTTTAGGAAGACAATTCTTACCGGTTTGGTTTGAACTGGACTGTTGTAGCCATTCAAGGTATAGTGCTCTATAGCGACACTGCCATCATTGAGGCGGGAGCAGATGATAGTGTCTGTACCATCCTGCCAAGCAAAATGAAATGAAATATTGTATTTTCAGTTCTGTGCGAGGGGTCCCACCTCATTTGCCCGTCAAGTTATCTTTCCCGTCACGCAATCTTCCCAAGTCACCATCTGTATGTAACGTACGTCGAAAATCTTAGTTAATCACTGTACAAGTTAATCATTAACCGCTGCTTTCTCTCGAATACTGAAATGCGTCTTTACTTCTATTTGACATCACCGATGTTACTGGGAATAGCTTAAGAACAGGAATGACTGCGTGATGTCCCAAATAGCCTTTGCGTGACCGTTATAGACTTCCTGTTATATGCTAAAAGATTGCGTTATTTACCATTTTGCCTTCATCGTTGAATCCTATGGCGACCCAGTCGCTCTTTGCGCTCAACTCAAAATTGACGTTATCCTTTTTTTCACAAGGTTCGAATGTCACAAGATAGTCGCAGGTACCACTGGATGAACAGCCATCGGGCTCAAAGTAGCAGCTTTTCTCGTCGCCACATTTGGAAGTGAGGAACTAGATGAAATTAAAATTAACATCAGACTCTAAAATCCATGCTATTACTAAGTTAAGTCGCCTTGTGGCAATGTAAGACCTTCTTGCGGCAACCTCGCTGTTAATATTTACATCGATTAGAAAAAAAAAAGAAATAAATTTCTGCGTCCACGAGAGAGAAAGAAAGCTTTCCTTGTAGTGCGGGAATAAAAGTGTAAACAATGTCTCCTATCCGTAACTTATCTTACTTCCAGTTTTCCATCGGGTGTCGGTACTGGCGCCAATTTACGTCCGTTTTTCAAAATGGCTGGCCGTGTAACGTTGACGCGTTCGGCGGTGAAAGATGCGTTTTCAACATGATAATTTAAGACGCCTGTGCGAGCTAAAGAAAAACAACGAAGAGAACAGAGGTTAATAACAATAAAGAAAATAAAAAGTCAAACCATTTTTACTAAATTAGAGCGGTTTTGAGTTAAGTGTCAAAAGTAATCAGGCAATAACTTTGGTTTTTCAACGGTTTGAGATTGGCTGAGTAGTCTGATTGGTAAGTAACTGGTGTATTTTTGGTTTAACGACACTCAATTGACAGTCGATGCAATTTAAAAATGTTATAATTTGAGGAAGGTGTAGAACACGACCGAAGTGGTATATTTCCAGAGAATATAGGCTTAGAAGCGGCCTTAGAAAGTAATGCATGTGTAAAGAATTGCGCAAAAACAAATAGAGCCATAAGGCAAAACTTAACTCGCTTAAAAAAAAAAAAAAAATACTTTCTCATATTCTTGGGTAGCGAGGCTATTGAAAAAGCGAAGGAGTTTGAACACTTTTGCGATTATTGGTGTATAAGACATGCTTTTGTTATTTCACGGTATTCCTTTAATACAATTTCTCAGAAACAGTTCGACAAACCCTACATACAATTACGTAGTAAACACTTAGTACAATTCACAAGGCAGTACTTACTGACACCGGTCCAAGCAAAGATAAAGAACCAGTTCTTTGTAAGATCTGTCATATTTGATCCCGTGGGTGAGATTTTACGAACGAATCTGCAAATGGGTAAAATTATGTCCTTTGTGATTCAACTCAGAAGCAGCAAAATTAGAAAAAGCGCGGGAAAAAGGAATCCACGGTGATGCTAAGGACTAAGCGAAGTGAACAGGTTGCCTAACCTTATCTTCTTCTAACTCATTCTCGTCCCCAGAGCCGCCCGTCGCTTTCAGCTGGAGGAAATTGGTACGAGGAAAAGGTAGCTCTGGAGACGAGAATGTCAGTAACTTTGGCTAGTTCGTCTTAATATAGTTGCACGTCGTCATTGAAAGGCGGGGACTAAAGCGCTCTGCTTACACTAGCCAGTCCTTCAAACAACTAATCTCACAGCTTTATTGCGCTGTTGCGAGAAAAGTTATACGGGGTGTTGCCTAGCGTAGCATCCTATGGTCTGAACATGTCTCGCAACGTTCTCGTTACACTAATTGTTGCGAAAAGTAGACCTTGATTTTACTTTCTGAGCAACACTTTCTGTAACGAGAACGTTGCGAGACATCTTCTGCGGGGAGCGCGGTCCCCAAATGTCTGGGCGACAAAACACGATTTTCCTTTAATACAAAAAGCCAATAACTCCACGGACACCGTGCTCCAATCAAAGAGGAATATTAATAGCTGGGAACAAGGCAGTCCCTATCCACGTATCTGCGTGTAAACGAAGTAATAACAAATGTAACGTTTACAGCATAGGGCCTGATTCGTTCATGTACACATTATAAATACCTGCACGTCATTGTTCCATTCTCATAAGCTGCGGCATGTCGAATGATGTCCGTCGAGTTTCCCTAATGGTAAAAATGAAATTTGAAACAATAATTCCTCATTCATCCAATAAAAGGAAGATTTTCATCCATTGTCTTACAGTTCTCTTAATATTGGTCTTGAGACCTTTATTCAGGACCATTCTCATCACATGACTGTTGGACAAGCCAGTAATACAGTTAGGAGATAATAGATCTTGATAATTACCAAGTTAGTTCGAATGGGCTGGTGAAAATCCATGAAGTAATGTCTGATCTCAACAGCTCTGCTGGCTGAAGTTGAACAGGTGATGGTGTCGGTTTGGTCCTACAGAGAATATGACAATATGTTTCAACTGCAGTATATTTGCACATTTGCTAGTTGATTTATTTATTTTCTTTTAACGAACCCCCACAAGAAACTTCAGCAATAAAGGAGGTGGGGTAACTTGGAAGAAGAAGAAGAAGAAGAAGAAGAAGAAGAAGAAGAAGAACAACAACAACAACAACAACAACAACATAAACAACTTTGAATATAGCATACGTCCCTTGAAATAAAGATACAACGCACAAACCTAACTAGAAAAAAACCTGTATTAAGCAGTCTCCCTTGCAGAATTGGTAGGTGACTTGATACAGGTTAACCTAGATTTTTGCGGATGTTCGGCAGTTTTTCACGCCGTTCCCGAGATGAACTTTAGGTTAGCCCACCAAATTCCAGGGCAACCTAGGCTGCTTGCAGATTCTTTTCCTCTTGAAAATCAGGAAAGGGCAGCAGTTTTAAGACGAGAAGAGACTGGGCCTCCATTTTTGCGTTCGTTCGCGGGAGCCTGAGATAAACACATGTCGAACCCTAAGAAAAACGATCAGCCTCAAAGTATCTTAAGGATAACTGGTCAAACTGGGTCACGTAAGAGGACATTAGTTATGACATATTTAACTTCAGTTTCTTCTTACCATTTCTTGCTTGGAGTTAAAACCAACAGCAACGTAACCGTGTTTTCCACTCATTTCAAAAGTGATGTTCTCTCCTGCTCTTTGGTAAGTGACCAGGAATATACAGTTTGAACTGTTTGTGCAGTCCTCGGGCTCGGAATAGCAACCTTTCTCGCTCCCACAACCATCCTTTGTTACCTGAAAATGACAATGTGAAGTATAATTTAAATCAATTGTTCTTTATTACAAAAGACCTGAAGACCCCAACGTTACATGTACATAAACAGTGCTTCATGTTTGTCTTGGAATTAACGATCCGCAACAAAGTTTTAGCCTACCAACGCCCAAATTATTCCCAGGGTCTTCTCGTTTCTAAAATCCAGCCACTGGTGCAGAGACGCCATCTTAACTGGATTTGAATGGCAAGAATAACATGGGGCTAATCTCATTGCCAGATCTCACTCTGTTCTGGGTTCAAGATTACCTGGGGACGAGTGAAAGCACCATTTTAGGTATCTAGGTAACTAGGCAACTGCACTGTTACCGCCTCCCCCACCTCCCTCCAAACTCCAAAAACAGAGAGAATATCCACACTTGCAGTTTATGGAAACAAAAGTGGTATAATATTCAATAACAAATCCCATTTATCAAAAAAGGTAAAAGCGTAAATAAATTAGCTAGCGTAAAGGTAAACAATTAATTGAACAATTACAATCCGTACCGCAAAACTTGGTTGTATCGTTGGTGGTGTTTGAGGGTCAGCTGTGGGTCCGTGGACTGTTACAGATTGAATACTAACCCAAAATATGGTATAGCTTTCGACAAAAGTTCCCCTGAAACGAGAAAAGGTCTTTAGTTTAAAATTAAGCTGATCTAGAAAAAATAAATTAAATGAAACTTAAAAATTAACAATCCTGTACAAGACCTTGTATAGCAATTTTAAAATTACATTATGCTGATAATCTTTGCATAGAAACAGAATAAACAACCAGAAATTTCAGAAGGTAGATATGACAAAATCTTTGGGTGTGACAGACTCTGCAGACTTTTTGCTCTCAACGTTGAAAACAGAACTCATTTCCTAGTTCATTGCTCAAAGAATTCATTGATTAGAAAATTAGATAACAGCACATTAATTATACAATTAATGAACTCCACTGATTAAGTTATCAACATTTAGCTTTGCAGTAAATATCGTCCTGTTTTGTGAGCAAATTACAATCAAATGTTTGATTATGATGTTTGAGTGTAAATGTTTAAATACGATATGCTTTTGCACAGCAATACCGATTTATGGCTGTAGAGATAAAGCTTGTTGTTGTGTTGTCGTTGTTGATGTTGTTTATTATTTTTATTCATCTAACAATACAGAAATGCAATTAGGATCGTCCGTTAAAGAGACAAAGACCCCACAGTCAGACAGACCACTTAAAAGTATATAAAAAGTATAAAAGTATCAAATAAGAAGAACGTTCCAAAAAGAACTTACCAAAACGTGATATTTCCCACACTGTATCCCGGTGCTTTCCAAGTAAATTCTAAAGATTTAGGTAATGATCCATTTGGCGGTTTGAAACGGTGATGAGCAACAGTATTCTGTTGACGCAAGACAGATGAAACAAAGGAGTAAGGAAGGATGGATATTCAATGACGAATTGAAAGAGAAAACAGACTAAAGGAGATAACATTAAGCGAATAAAAAGACACGTTTCTATTTCAAGGATACCTGTTCTTCTCCACCGGAACACCACAAGAAGGTTTGGTCCGCAGACAGAGGCCCCTGAAAGGTGCCAACTGGTCTGGCATCCCCCACAGCACGGGCTTGGATGATGAACCCCTACAAATGGGAAAGAATTGTTTAATTTGTCCTGGGTTGGTATGGTTTTTCTGTCTTCCGGAATAAGTATTTAATACGCTAATTTTATCAAAATCAAGCGTGCGGACATCTAGTTTTATTACCTTAATAGCCTTGGTGCCATTAACCGTGACAGTTATCATGGCGTCACGTGTATAGTTTTCGCTGCTCACGTGGATCGAATATGGACTTGTGTTGGGCGGCTGACTCGAAATAGGCTGCATATTTGGAGTCCTATGGAACGGCGTGAGATTTTCACAAACTGTGATAGGCGCATGAGAGGGGAACCCGTCACACGTCAGCAAAGAGTGTGACGTCAGCACCGCTAGTAACCTGAACAACAACTGCAAT